AAGGGTGGCAGAAGGTTCCCTGCCGGGTTTGGTGGCATCGCTGCAGGGCCCTCTGCTGTCAGAGCCCGCTCTGTGCTGGTGACAGCTTTGCTCTTGGGGACAGCGCTCTGCCCCAGCCCAGAACACGAGCAGGGCCCAGTGCTGGGAGCGGTGTCAGTGGGACCCCCCTATGCACAGGGACCCCCAGCCCCGGGGCGGCCGTGCCAGCACCACCAGAGACCCCCAGCCAGGGGAACCCGGGGCAAGTGGAAACCACAACTGTGCCCAAAGGAATTGCAAAGAGCCGGGGAGTGAAAAACAAGGACAATATATTTCCAGAACACCCATAAAAACAATAAATGTATTTATTGAGAATAAGATTCTTATTGATGATAACAATCTTTATAACAACAACAGTCTATAGAACGTATTTACATGGGGGCCTAAGAAATAACAATCTCCAAAACATATTTACATTCTTCCAAACATATTTACAGAAACACCTAAAAATAAGAATCTTCATAACATATTTACAGGATACAATCAAATAACAAACATATAAAACATATGTACAAAATGATGAGATCTGCTCCCAGTGTCTCCATCAGTCCTGCAAGAGAATGAAGCAGCAGGGTCAGTGCAGCCCGGCCCTGAGGGCTGTTCCCTGTGCCCCCAGGCTGGCACTCGCTGGCACAGCGGGACTCTGCCGCCAGCACTGAGCCCGGCTGGGGCTGGGAGCCGGCCCCACGCACTGGGACGGGGCTGGCCTGGCCCAAAGCGAGCTCAGGGCAGGCTGGGGGTGGTGCTTGTGCCCCCAGAATCCAGGGCTCCGCAGGGCACCGTGTCCCTGAGCGGGGCCACCCAGCCCAGCCCCGGCCTGGCGGCAGGGGACCCGCTGTGCCTGTGGGCAGGGCATGGCCAGTACCTGTCTGTCCTGCTGCTGGGGCTCCATCCTCACTCATCCCGGGATCATGGGCTCCTCCTCATCCTCAGTATCCACTTCCATGTCTTCGATTTCATCTTCCATATCCACTTCCATGTCTTCAACCTCCTCTTGCTCATCCACTTCCATGTCCTCGATGTCATCCTCCACATCAACTTCCATTTCTTCCACCAACTCTTCCTCATCCACCTCCATCGGTTCTTCACTGTCTATATCCACCTCCATCTYCTCTTCCTTCTCTCTCTCAGGCTGCAGGAGAAAGTGCAGTCCCTGTCCTCAGAGGGGTGTCCCTGTCCCACACCATCCCCACGGGGCTCCAGCCCAGCCGGGCACTCGGGGGTGTCACCCCTGAGGAATGGCTCTGTACCGTCTCTGGGACAGGAGTGCACATCCTGCTGGGATTGCTTGACCCCGGGAAAAGTCCAGACAGCAGGAGCAGCTCAGCACTCATGGGCTTCTCWGGGAGCAGRACACAAGCGACCACTTCCATCAGSTGAAGGGCGCGTTGTGCTGGATTCCACTCCTGGCACTGCCACCTGGAACTCTCTGGCCTCTGTGACATCACGGAATTACCGGGCCACTCTGCAGTGGGGGACTGGGGATCATGGAATGACCACATTCCTGAATGATTTCACTTGGAAGGGACCCTAAAGATCATCTTGTTCCAACCTGAGCAAACTCCCACCTGACCAGGATCCTCAGGGCCCCGCCCAATCTGCACTTCAGTGTTCCATGGCATGGGGCATCCACAGCCTCCCTGCACTGTCTGTGCCATGGCACACGACCCTCACAGGAAAGAATTTCCTCCTATCATCAAATGTATTCCTCATCTCTTTCAGTTTGATCCCATTGCCCYTTGTCCTGTCACTCCAGTTCCCTACAAGGAGTTGCTCTCCCGTTTCCCTGTAGCCCCTTCACACCCTGGAAAGGTGCTGCTCTTGCTCTCTTGGCTGCACACGAGCATCACAGCCCCGTCCCCTCACCAGCCATCCATGGCTTCAAACGTTCCTGGCACAGGTCACAAACCAACTCCAGCCCTGCTGCTTTTGCTGGGGCGTCTCAGTTCTAAATGTGCTGTGGAAATGCTCCATGTCATCCTGTCACTGCAGTGGATACACAATTGACAAGGAATCGTTTTTCTTTTTACGCTATTGAATTGGTGGTACCAACACAGGGTTGTTCCACATTATTACGCCTAATCATAGGGCAGATAAAGTTAGGACTTAGAGTTCCTTCACATATTTCAACAAAAAAGTAGAAAGGATCTGCTTGGGTTTTATTTAATTACATCTAAATTCTGACTCGTTCTAATGGAGGATTAACCATCCCAGTTCCTCACACTGCCATTTCAAGCCCTGTCTGGGCAATGGAAGTCCTGCAATTACATAAAACAGCTCTGAAATCTAAGATTCCCATATCCCCCAGGTGAGGATGCTCACAGGAGCTCCAGCCTGGGCTCCGTGTGACACGAGGGCAGAGAGCAGCCCTGTCCCCTGATCAACTGTGGCACAGGGAGCGCAGATCCACAGCGACAGGGAGAGAAAAAGCTCAGCTTGTGCTGAGCCCCAGGGCACCCCAGACACTGCTGAGCACCTGGGAGCACCTCCCTGCCCCGGCCCATGGCCAGGGACATCCCCTGGGGACACTCAACAGCACCCTGGGAACACAGGGGACAGAGCGACGGGGCTGCATCGGGCCACCCTCGGTCAGCCCCTTCCCAGGTCCTGCCAGTGCGGGGCATGTGGGTGAGGAAGAGAGTAAGAAATGGAGAACATGAAGATATTTCCAATTCCTTTCAGTCCCCAAGGCAGGTTTACATTTCCTCTGTCTCCCCTTGCCTGCCAGCGCTGAATTTCAGCTCCCACGGGGGCAGCAGGTGACGCAGCTCCAGTGCCACAGAGTGAACGTGAAGGTGTTTGCACGGAAGCACAGAACCGCTGCTATCTCTAAGATCACCAAGCCAGCCATTTCCATGGCTTTGGGCTCCCAGCAGCTGCGGCCCCGAGCAGCTGCTGGATGCAGCGCTTGGATTTCACGAACTGCATCCGCAGTCGCAGCCAAACGCCCCAGAGCCCTCATCGCCCGCTTGATGTCGCGACATGACGTCACGCCCCCTCAGGCAGCCCGGCGCATGCGCTCTGCGCGCTCCCGACGCGGCTCCTCCTCCTCCCGTCCCTTTGCGCGGCAGCGCACGCGGCGCGTTTTCCCCGCGCTGATTGGTTCGGTCCGTTGCCAATCTTGGCGATGGGCGGGGCGAAGGCTGCAGCCCGCCCAATCACGGGGCATTCCGGAACGCCGGCGCCGAGCGGCCARAGCGCGTCCGGGCGGCGGAAACGGGAGCGCCGGGACGGAGCGGGGGACGGGMGTCAGTGGTCAGTGAGCGGATGGGAACCGGGGAGGGAATGGGCGCTCCTGGAGCGGGCGGGGACGGTGACGGGGTCGGTGACGGGATCAGTGACGGTCTGCTTATCTGGGAGTGATCGGAAGGGTCGGAGAGGGCGACGGRTCGGGGACCGAGGAGGGACTGGGGGTTGTGGGTCAGTGAGGGCTTGGGGGTCGGAGAGGGACTGAGCRGTCCGGGRTCAGGGGACAGCGATGGGCCAGGGRCCGGGGTTCAGGAACTGGGGAGCAAAAGTTGGGAAGGGGCCGGGGGTCGGGGACAGGGGGCGTAGTGACGATCTGGGTACCCGGGGACCGGCGAGCGGACGGGGACCGGGAGTCGGGGGTGATGGGCTGGGGAACAGCGAGGGACCGGGGACAGCGAGGGGCCGGTGATCAGGGTGCGGGGCCGGGGACAGCGAGGGGCCGG